AGAGAAGTGGGAGGGTGGGCAACGTTTCTCCAGGCCCCAGGAACACACCAACAAGAACAAGTATGTGACAGAAATCGTCAATTAAACATGACCTGGGAAAACAGTCACACTTCCTAAAGACATTTTATTCCAGCATTAATGGCATGCAGAAGTTTTCCTTTGTGTACCAATTGAGTATGTACCTAGAACTGCTCGGATGGAAAGTGGCTGGCACTACCAATCAACACAGTCATATCAACAGAAAAGGAGGGAACTTACGCTGTATGTTCACCTCCTGAAAATAGGATCGAAACAACCACACTTAAGAGAAAAATATTTGCTGAGTACATAGTATATACATAAACTATAAGGCCTGAAGGAGAGTGGTCACTTGGCTTTCCTTCCCTTCCTCCCTCCTCTTTCTCTCTTTTTCTCTCTCTCTCTTTTTCTCCCTCCCCTCCCCTCCCCTCCCTTCCTCTCCCCTCCTCTCCTCTCCTTTCTTTCTTTCTTGAGACCGAGTCTTGGAGTCTTGTTCTGTCGCCCAGGCTGTAGTGCAGTGGCGCCATGTGTTCTCACTGCAACCTCAGCCTCCTGAGCTCAAGCGAGTCTCCTGCCTCAGCCTCCCGCCTCAGCCTCCCAAGTAGGTGGAAGGACCACCATTCACAGTTAATTTTTCTATTTTTAGTAGAGACAAGGTTTTCCCATGTGGGCCAGGCTGGTCTCAAACTCCTGACCCAAGGAGATGGAATAACAGGCGTGAGCCACCATGCCCAGCCTGCTTGGATTTCTATCAAATGATTTTATCACATGAAAGTCTAGATTGGTAATTGTTTCTGATCTAGAACAGCCGCAAGAAACACTCACCTTTGTAAAGAATCCTTCATTTCCTCTAAAGTTTGGATACGTTTTCCCAGCCTCCCACATATATAGATACTTTTAAGTCTGCCACTCTAAGCCTCAGTTTCCTCTGTACAACTGGGAAAGAGTATCTGTGCCTTACTGCATGTTTAAAAGGTCTAGACAAGACAATAAAGGATGTTCCTAGCACAAATAGTCCTTTCTTCCGCTATTTATGTCATTTTGTTATTTGGGATTGGGTCTCTAGCACTTAATTCTTAGTGTATCTTCAATATCAAAATGTATACTATGAGTTCATATGCTTGGGTCAAGAAAAAAATCAAAAGAAAAAGAACAGATACAAAGAGATTACATTTTTTTTTTTTTTTTTTTTTGAGACGGAGTTTCGCTCTTGTCACCCAGGCTGGAGTACAATGGCACAATCTCAGCTCACTGCAACCTCCCCCTCCCCGGTTCAAGCGATTCTCCTGCCTCAGCCTCCCGAGTAGCTGGGATTACAGGTGTGCACCACCATGCCAGGCTAATTTTTGTATTTTTAGTAGAGACGGGGTTTTGCCATGTTGGCCAGACTGGTCTCGAACTCTTGACCTCAGGTGATCTGCCTGCCTCGCCCTCCCGAAGTACTGGGATTACAGGCGTGAGCCACTGCACCTGGCGAGATTAAATTTTTAAAAATGTGTTTTGTGTGGTATTTGTTGAACACCAGTTGTTCTGGAATTGCTACAACATAGGATGTTCCAGCGTCCTATTTTTGCTACTTCCTCCTTGGAGGAAGTGCCCTTTTATGTCTTTCACGCCCTCACTGCCAGTGCTGGGCCCCCAAGCCCCCGAGGATCAGTTGAGTACCTGCTGAGACACTTTTCTGAGTACCAGAGCTCAGACCCAAAGCCTCAGCACTGTTTTGGGTTGGACAGACTTTGTCACGCCGTGCCTAGCACTCTAATACAGTTCCTGTCACCACCCGAACCAGACCCTCGCGGCTCCTGGCACATTCTAAATACCTCTGAGAGTTTAATGCAGACCCTTAACAGGGCTTGAACTTTGTACTCGCACTCATTATGGGACCTTATTAAAGTAAATGAGCAAGTCAAATTGGTTGATTCCACAGGTTCTGCACCTGATATCCTGACCTACATCCTGCTGATACTAATAGGATTAAACACTGAAAACAAACCAGGTGGAAAGGATCCATTAAGTTTCCACCTGGCACCGTCAGGGGTCTTGCTCGATGAATGGTGCTCCAGAAGAAAGCTCGATTCACTCAAGTTCTCTGATTCAATTAAAAGTTGTCAAGATGTCTCTTTTTCTCTCTCTCTCTTTTTTTTTTGTTTTGGTAGCACTGACGAAGAAGTACAAAATCTACAATTTTTTTTTTTAGCTCAAATCTTGTGGCAGTGACAGCTTTACTGTCAATGGGAGGAAAAAAACCCCTATTTTAATTACAGTATTATAAATTCAAAACCCTAAATAACTTATAGAAAGTTTTCACTTAAAACGATGAAAGCTATAAAAGGAACTAATCTATTAATGCAGTCTATTATTAGTTATTTTAATTTTAATATTTTTCAGATTATGCTGATATAGAGGGGAAAAACGAAAACCTTGTCCCTGAGAAGTAATAAACTAAAAAAATCCAGAAGAGAAAGATATGAAGGACAGGAATGCAAGAGGGGAAACTCTCCTGCCCCTCTAAATCCTGCTCAGTATGATCTCTAGAAATCATGCTAACATTTATTATTTTAACATTTGTTGAGCACATGAAACATGACAGTGGTAATAAAGGTATCAAATATGAAGACTAAGGATGCTACAGATTAAAAACTTCTCCAATACTTTTTCTTTCTTTTTTTTCTTGAGACAAGGTCTCGCTGTGTCCCCCAGGTTGGAGTGCAGTGATGTGATCATAGCTCATTGCAGTCAAAACTCCTGGGCTCAAGCGATCCTCCTGATTCAGCCTCCTGAGTAGCTGGGACCACAGGTCCATGCAGCTAATATTTAATTTCTTTTTTTTTTTTGTAGAGACAAGGTCTCACGATATTGCCCAGGCTGGTGTCAAAACTTCTGGGCTCAAGCCATCCTCCCGCCTCAGCTTCCCAGAGTGGTAGGATTATCGTTGTAAGCTACCATGCCTGGCCCCCTCCAATAGTTAATTCAGGGAAAGGAGAGGAGGTAAGTAAAGAGAGACACCCAGAGTCAAGGAGACAGCTAAAACATCCAATCCAGGCTTCAAACACGAGTTTAAGTTTTTTGTTGAAATTCAGTTTCAGCATAATTTATAAAAAGCATATGTGACATTTTTGCTACTTGTCTGTTTTCATTAATATCAATGAGATTCAGAAAACTCCCCACAGATCGGGCCACATGCAAAAGTGGATTAATTAAAACAGTGATTTCATAGCTTGGGTATGAATCAAGTTCCATTGCTTGACTACTACTTTCCTTTGATTTGATTGTTAGTTGTGCTAACCGTGACAACTGTCACAATGTGAGACAAAGGAGAATGATTATAATTGTGTCTGGGTCAGTGTCTCTCAACACATAACCTTGGTTAAAAGCACTGGCTTTCTTTTGTGTGTGTGTATGTGAGACAGGGTCTCACTCTGTTGCTCAGGATGGAGTGCAGTGGTGCAATCTTGGCTCACTGTAGCCTGGACCTCCCCGGGCTTAGGGAGTCCCCTTACTTCAGTCTCCTAAGTACCTGGGACTACAGGCATGCACCACCACACCTGGCTAATTTTTGTATTTTCAGTAGAGACGTGGTTTTGCCATGTTGGCCATGCGGGTCTTGAACTCCTGACCTCAAGTGATCCACCCGTCTTGGCCTCCCAAAGTGCTGGGATTACAGGCGTGAGCCACCAAGCCACCAAGGCCTCACCGGCTTTCTTGTAGGACAGACTTAATGGCTCTGGGACTTTGGGTAACTCACATAACCCTTTGGGTCTCCGTTTTCTTAACCGTAAAATGGATAATGATGACTATCTCAAGGATTTAAATGAAATAATTTCTGTTACACATTAAGCATTGTCCTGGCCCCAGTAGAAAGCACTCAATAAGCAGTGGCTATAATTACTGTCACTGTGACTGCTGCCTTGCTGGACCACCCCCAGCAGCAGGGAACGGCCTTTTCCATGTGCTGACTGACAAGATGCCCTTCTGGCCTCTTGCTCTGGCCCTGCGTGGTGTGTGTACATGAAGGGCTGAGTGAGGCACATCTGCGGGTTGGAGAGGACATGGGATTCAGCTCAGGTGGGCCTGGGTCTGCCTTTCGGCTGTGCTTCTTTTTTTTTTTTTTTTGAGGCGGAGTCTCGCTTTCTTGCCCAGGCTGGAGGGCAGTGGCCGGATCTCAGCTCACTGCAAGCTCCGCCTCTCGGGTTTACGCCATTCTCCTGCCTAAGCCTCCCGAGTAGCTGGGACTACAAGCACACGCCACCTCGCCCGGCTAGTTTTTTGTATTTTTTAGTAGAGACGGGGTTTCACCATGTTAGCCAGGATGGTCTCGATCTCCTGACCTTGTGATCCGCCCGTCTCGGCCTCCCAAAGTGCTGGGATTACAGGCTTGAGCCACCGCGCCCAGCCTCGGCTGTGCTTCTTAAGAGCAGCATGGCCCTGCACACTTAGCCTCTCTGAGCCCAGGCATCTGCTTCATCAAATAAGGATGATGAAATAAGGAGAGAAATGGCTCCTACTACAGCATCTAGCATGTAGTAGGCTCTCAACAGGTGCTAATTTCTTGTTTCGTTTGCTTCTTACATAATTCTGCTTAGGAGAGAAATCCAGGTTGCCTGGGGGTTTTGCTGGAAACAGTGAAAAAACTGCTACTGAAAATAACATGTAGGAGGGGCCTCAGCACACATTTAAATGCACATTTTAAATATTGAGGCTGCTTTAAACACATCAGCAAAACCTCTACACCACGCAGGAGAGAGAGATTACCAAAATAGACTAGCCATCTTTAACAAGGAGACCCCCCAGGCCTTATGCTACCCGAGCCAGAGCTTTTTAGGATTCCTCAAATTAAATTAAATTGATCCTAAAAATATCTGCTCTGGTGGAAGACTACATGGGCTTTGCCACCAAGTGAAGCCTTCCTATAATTTCTCCCCCAAAATAGGAGTTTCTAGAGCATTTAGAGTCCACAGCCTTCAGCAAGATCTAATACAAACCTGCTGGAGAAAGCTCCTTCTTCATTCTTTTTAATTTCTTGGCCTTTTTCCTTCCCTCTGAGAGGGGCTCTGCACAGGAGTCAGTCTGCTCAAGCTCAGCGTCGGAAATCTCCCCCGACACTCCGTCCTCCAGGCCAGCTTCCTCTTGACTAGGACTCAAGTTTCTCTTTCCTACTGTGCTGGGAGCTGTAAAACTGAAATGCAAAAAGTGGAACAACATGAAAGGTGCTGAGAGTTACAGGAAGACTAGTCTATAAAAATATTTTAATACTCTTAATTCTATTAACACTCAGCCAGCCATCAACAACATGGGCAGCTGCTGCCTGTCTGTAAAAATTAAAGACCTTATTATGAAATGAACTCTGAAAGTTTACCTATAACAAGCTTATTCAGAAAAAAGTCCTAAATTAGGCTTCTAAATAGATATATACAAATCTAAGCTGATCCGAGTGTTCAAGAACAAATTTGTAAAGTTCCTAGTCTCTATTTTGATAAAACTATTATAACCGAATAGTAGAATAGAATAGTAGAGACACTATAACTAAATAATAGTTTTGATTACATTAAATCAGAAGATAGGATTATTCCCTTCATGACTGCCTAATGGATAAACAGCAGAACTGCAGAATTCTTCAATCAGTTTGCTATCCCACTGCTTAAAATTTGGATATAGTTACAGAGCATACCCTACCTTCATGTAATCCTCTTCCTTTCCAAAAAGATGACTTGTTAAATGTATAATTAAATCTGGTTTCATTTTGACAGCTTTATAGGATTTGACATATTGAATTAAATCAGATTATGTGTCCTGATTTTTCCTTAAGAAAATGTTCCCTGAAATATAACTAGATAAAAACCGTGTCCACATAGCCAGTGAGTCCTTTCTCCTCTAAATGGGTCTTAGAGATTTTTTTATTATAGCCCCCAAGTTATGAAAAGCCTCAAATAAATTCAAAGCATTCTATTTAGGAGATGCCATTCAAGCACACAGGGAGGGTGGGGAGTGAGAGAGATAAAATGATCCTATCACCTTTTCCTAGGAGGTGGGTGCTTTTAAATTCTATCTATCTATCTATCTATCTATCTATCTATCTATCTATCTATCTATCTATCTATCTATCTGATTATTTCTGAGACACGGTCTTGCTCTGTCACCTAGACTGGAGTGCAGTGGTGCAATCTTGGCTCACTGTAGCCTCTGTCTCCCGGGTTCAAGTGATTCTCCTGCCTCACCCTCCCAAGTAGCTGGGATTACAGGCACCCATCACCATGCCCGGCTAATTTTTTTTTTTTCCTGAGACAGAGTCTCACTCTGTCCCCCAGGCTGGGGTGCAGTGACACAATCTCAGCTCACTGCAATCTCTGGCCCCCGGGTTCAAGCGATTCTCCTGCCTCAGCCTCCTGAGTAGCTAGGATTACAGACATGCGCCACGAAGCCCAGCTAATTTTTGTTTTTTTAGTAGAGACAGGGTTTCACCATGTTGGCCAGGCTGGTCTCCGACTCCCGACCTCGTGATCTGCCCGCTTCGGCCTCCCAAAGTGCTGGGATTATAAGCTTGAGTCACCGCGCCCGGCCTCTGCTAATTTTTGTATTTTTAGTAGAGGTGAGATTTTGCCATGTTGGCCAAGCTGGTCTTGAATGATGGACCTCAAGTGATCTGCCCGCCTCGGCCTCCCAAAGTGCTGGGATTACACGTGTGAGCCACCACGCCCAGCCAGGAGGTGAATAGTTTAACATGTTCTATATAAAAAACTCTGGCTCCCTAAATATTCAAGTTCCTCCACATTACTCCTGCACTCAACATCTTCCCTGAATCTGCCAACTGTACTTGACGGTACACTCAGGGGACGGAGGAGAACACATCGCCTTCCTGGTGGTTCTCTAAGGCATGGGAAGCAGAAGAGGCTGGAGCACTCATCCTCCTATGACTGGCTGGCTAGCCTTTCATTTGTCCTCTTTTTCATGTCTATTATAGACAGCTTTCTGAAACATCTCTTTTAATTGAGGGACTATGGAAAAAAGTGAGGGTATTAATGGTAATGTTTTGGGGGGAGGGCTGTTAAAAATGCATGCTAAAGTTTCCTGTTTAAAAACTGATACCTTTAAGAAGATTTTTTAAAGACTAAAAAAAGTTTGGCTGATTTCAGAAAATTTAGAAAATTCAGAAAGTATAAGAAGATAATAATGGTTCTTCCATCACGAAAGGGGAAGAGGCCTAAAAATTCCTTTGCATTGCAAATTCAGGAACCTGGTAGCCTCTGAGACATACAAAAATGTTTAATGAAAACTCAGCTAGAACCACGGGCATTAAAAATACTCTGTGAAATATAAAGTCTAGAAATAGCCGCAACTGTACATAGAAATCTACTATATAACAGTGGTATCTCTAAATACTGGGGCATATATGGACTTCAAAATAATGATGTTGGGACAAGCAGAAAAGGATAACATTAGAACCATTCCTCACACCATATGAAAGAATAAATGCCTAATGGATTAGATATCTAAATGCAAAAACGGGAACTTTACAGGTACTAAAAGAAAACGTGGGTGAATGCCTCCAAAATCTAGGTGTAGAAAAAGGTTTTCTTGTCATGTCTCACAATCCAGACATAATAAAGGATTTATGAATGTGACCTCATAGATGTAAACATCTTTTGCAGGGCAATAAATAACATAAGCAAAGACAAATGACAAACCAGGAGGAAATATTTACAACCTGTATCACCGATAAAGGATTAATGTCTCTAACAAATTATAACTCAAACTTGCAGAGAAAAAGAAAGACCAAAAGTCCTATAGAAAACTGAAAAAGCTATGAATAAACAGCTCATTACACACACTCCTTAAACACATGAAAAGATGTTCAACTCCATTCATAATGCAAAATAAAAACACTGAAATATCACTTCTCATCCACTAGGTTTTTAGACTGGCAAAAACCTTCAAAAGCTTGATAATATACTCCATTAGTAAACTGGGGAAATGGGTCCTTTCTCACATTACTGGTACGAATGCAAAATAGCACGACTTATTCTTATGGAAAGAATGTGGCAATATCTAACAAAACCGCATACACTTCCAGGAATTTAGAAGATATACCTCCTACAATGCAAAAATATGTATGTACAAGTTATTCATTACAGCATTATTTGGAACTGCAAAATACTGCAAAGTACCTAAATGTTTAAGCATAAAAAACTGGTTGAATACAAAACAGCACATACAATCAATGAATTACTAAGCAGTTACCAAAAAGAAAGATCTCAAAGAACCGAAAATGATGATGGAATGATTTCCAGTAAAATATGTGCAAAAAGCCAAGTGCAAAAGAACAACTTATGAACCTGGTATGCCCAATCTCGAATACGGTGTGGGAGAGAATTGCAAACAAATCCTGAACCCTTTAGTAGGTTTGCTTCTGTAGTAGAATGAGTGAAGCAATTCTGAAAACACTTAGCTGCATGATAGCATTGGGTAAATCAGTAAATGTGCTGATGTTTCTGGAAGACAGACATAAACATATTAGAATAAGGGAAGATAAGGAAGAACCCTCTGAGGATAGACTGAAATTGGAGATATGGGTTTGGGCTTGTGATTTCTAAAATAAGTATGCGTATATGTGTTCATATTTATGTATACATACACATATATATACACGTATATTTATTCAGGGATAGATAATTGTATCTATCCAGGCACAAAATTCCCAGCTCTGTCTACAGAAAGGACATAGAAACACAGACACCACAGAAGCAATGGGCATATCTACTGTCCAGATCTTAGTTTCTAATACCCTACCAAAAGGAACCAGGGCTCCTCAAATAAGTGGCTGATTCCAGGCTCAAGGGAGATAAATTATAAAATGAGTCTAAAATATTTTGCAACACCAAAAAGTAAAAAACTTTTAGGCATGTCACAGGGAAATAGGAACTAGCTTGAACGGAAAGGGCTCCCACTGGGAAAATCTGAGACAATGTATGCCCTCTAATTTATTAGAGGGTAGTAATAAATTCTGAATCATTGAAAAAAAAAAAAAAGGAATCCATGAGTCTACATCAATACGTAAGACAAGGAGAGGGAAGGGAAAGAAGAACTCCAACTCTCCACTATAAACCTAAATTTAAATTGCTTGGCACATCATCCAGGATCCTCTATCATCTGGGTCCCAATCTGCTTTCCTGGCCTATCTTTCACTAGGCAGCCAAGCTGCAGAGACTATATAGGTTTACCTAACGAAGTCCATCGTCCGTACTCTCCCACATGCCCATCATCCCACCAGAAGTTTATCAGCCCAAATAAATCCCACACTGCCCATTTCAATGTTACCGTTCATGCTAAGACCCTACTGCCCATCTCCTCCTGCTCAACATCACTCTCCTCCAGGAATGTTCCCAATCCCTGTTTACTGTTCTTTCCATGCTTCCCATAACACTCTGCTTGTCTGTCTCAAGAGGACTTTAACTCGTTCATCTTATTTTTATAATAAACCGAAACTAGGAGCAGTGCATCCACAGGAGAATGGATAAACTGGGCTATATTCATACAATGAAATATAATTCAGCAATTAAAAAATGAATTACTGTTAACTCCAACAACACAGATGAATCTCAAACATTCTAAGTGAATAAAGCCTTCACAGGAAAGGGTGGGTATTTTATAAACCCATTTATATGAAATTCCAGAAAAAGGCTAAACTAATCTTCAGAGAAAAAAATTCAGAAAAATGACGGACATGGGACGGTAGGCAGGGATTGACTGGTGGAACATGAGGGAACTTTCCGGGGTGATGTTAATTTTCTGTGTCTTTATAGGAGTGTGGTTTGGTCAAAACTCCTATCTTGGCCAGGTGTGGTGGTTCACACTTGTAATCCCAACAGTCAGGGAGGCCAAGGCAGGAGGATTGCTTGAGTCCAGGAGTTCAAGACTAGCCTGGGCAATGTGGCAAAACTCCGTCTCCAAAGAAAAATAAAAATAAAAAAAATTAGCCAGGTACAGTGGTGGCATGCCTGTAGTCCCACCTATTTGGGAGGCTGAGGTAGGAGGACTGCTTGAGTCTGGGAGTTTGAGGTTTCAGTGAGCCATGCCCATCCCACTGCACTCCAGCCTGGGTGACAGAGACCTTGTCTCAAACAACAACAACAACAACAACCACTTCATATCTCAACATCATGTGGCTATTCTATGGACATAGAGATTGATTCATTTTAGCATTAACTGCAAGCAA